TACACCATGGTAAACCTGATCGAACGCCAGGATTTTTCCACAGATCTACGTGTCCCAGTGTCTAGTTCCAGAAACTGAAAACCGCAAGTCTGTAGCATTCACCGTTAAAAAGTTATAAGCGAAATATCGGAGTCCATTATATTTTGGTACAGATAGTAGTTTTCGTGTCTGTCACACGTTACATCGAGAATATTTGCCGAAAATACGGGTTTATGGACTATGCCCTATAGAAAAGACTCAGCTTTGGACTCTTATCTTTGTTCGAGAAAGTTTTCAGATTTCAGGAGTAGGTGCGTTGGAGAGGGCTTGTCGAGTTCTTCACGTTACACTCATTTAGCATTCTGTCACACGTCTGACTGAGAATTTTCTGGAGAAATATTAGAATAGCCAACCAACTTATGCAACTTGAGTCCTAAATACCAAATTTGCTCAATGTCGTGCCTTTCTCATGAAAAGTACAGTTTTCTACCAAATCTGACTTTTGTAATACGTTTCTTTTACTATTAAGGAGTTAATGAGAAATTCTCTACGGTAGATGGATCAATACAGCTTTGCGCAGACGACATTGTTATCTATTTAGTTTTTAAAAAGGGTTTTCTCCTCAGGTTGCAGTGAAAAATTAAAGAAAAAAGTACTTTGCACCAGCATTTTAGGCGACGTTTGATATTTATATTTTTTCTGACTCAAGCTCAATTACAAAAAATTTTGTTTTCTATGTTCTTTGAAGTTCAGACTTTGCTCTTTCTAAGGAAAAACAATTAAAGCGCCAGCGCATCGGAAACATGCACAAATAATGTTCGACATTTTTCCATTTCTTTTGCATCGTGTAATATTGCGGCGGATTTCAACGCAACAGATACGGAATAGGGCAGCCAAAGTACAGACAGAAGAGGAAAAATTTTAATAAAGTGGGTGGAAGAATTAGATCTGTCTTGTATACCAACAACCTTTCCTTCATCCAAACGCTCGAAACGTAACATAGATTTAGTCTTCTCGAATTTTACGGGTCTGAAGGAAGAAACTATCAGACTAGGGACTAGCGATCACTGGCCTCTTGTGTTTAGTTCTGATTTCATCTTAAAGCTGTAACTAAACTTTCGAATACTAAATGGAAAATTTATGAAATAATACTAGCCATTCTTCAAGGTTACTGGGGAAAAGTATTAAAGCCGGGCTCGGCGGATAAATGGTATAGACAATATGGTAGGTTTTTATCAGCTTTAAAGTGTAGGCTGACGCTATGGCTCGAAAAAGAAAAGTGGAGACCCTCACCACATTCCTGAAAAGTTATCAGCTTTGAGGAAAGTGAGGAATAGATATTATCGATATAGGTGTGAGGAAGATAGGATCAAACTGAGGCATGGTTCGAGAAAAATTAAGATCGAAATTCTTAGCTATAAATCAATAGATAGACAGAGTTTCTTACTTCAATTCAGGAATCTCACGGCAAAGCTGACTCACCCTTCTGGACATAGCTATGCCGTATTTACAGACCTAAATCGTTCTCACTGTCGAAGTTAGCAATTAGTGGGGCAGTTAGTCACGGACGAACTATTCAAATATTACGCTGAAACATTTTCTGCGCTGACGGAAAAGTATAAAGATCTTTTCGACGTAGAATGCCAGGTTGAGTATAATGAAATTATGATTAGGCTAGCTTTGTGCACCAAGTCTGTGACCGGAACGTCTTCAGTCGAGATAAATAAATTCATTAAAAAATTTAAACCAAAAAAATTGGCTAGATTCAACGATATTTCTAATTTTATGATTAAACTACTTCCTCCGGGCTACATTGATTGTTCAGCGAACTGCTTTATATGACTGGCTAAAAGATTGTCATTTTCCGGAGATTTGGCAGTTAGCAAAAATTGTTACTCTTAATAAAATTAACAGCAGACCCGCCTTCTTGCGATCAAACGCGTCCAACCTCGCTGCTGGCTACTCATTCCAAACTATATGAGAAAGTTATTCATGAAAGGATCAAAAACTACGTGGAACAAAATCATATAATTTCCGCAGAACAATCAGGCTTCAGGAAAAGGCATCTGTTACCGACTCGAGTTTTGTCAATATATGAGAAAGTGAAAATAATCTAGCAGCTAATATATCAGCGCTTGCGATATATGTGCATTATAAAAAAGCATTTGATAGGATCTGACACACGAAACAAGTAGTAAAATTATGTAGAATGGGCATACCATTAGAACTTCTGAAGCTAATCGTAAGCTGGTTGTCCGGTAGAAGATCCTTCGTAGTTTTTGGAGGCATAGGGACTGATATATTTCGCATTTACATCGTACTACCACAAGGTAGTGGTCTAAGCCCGCTCATTTTATTATATATCATGCAGATTTAGTTAAATGTGTTGGCGCTTTTCATGTCATTTATTCGCCGACGATCTGAACGTCCTCCTGCCATGTTGAATCTATCTAACTTACTATGATTGAATTCTTGAGTGAGGAGGGAACTAAGGTATGTAACCGGCTATTAAATTACTCCAAAAAGTGGAAATAGCGCATTAATATCTCCAACGCTGTAGCCCAGGCTTTCTATTCACAAGTCTAGAAACCTAATGTAATAGTCCTTATGCGTCTGGGATAGGACTCCCGCGAGCCTTTGTCCGAGAATCTCGACTAGGGAGGGTGAGCTCGCTAGCTTGTTCTGTTCCAGAGATAAAAGCGTTTTTCCGAGAGCCCCGATTTCCGCCCTCTAACCTCGGATCACCCTAAAATAAATCAAGATAGGGGTAATCGGCCATGCTGAGTCGAGTGCTGATGTTTATTTTTAGTTTCAAATCGATCCAAAGTCACTATAGCACAATTTTCGAATTCCAGCATTCTGCCGTTATGTTACGTATAAAGCGGATATTTCGAAAATCTGGATATAGTGGCTTTAGATCAGTTTGAAACTACTATCCATACCGAAATACAGTGCCCGGTGCCACTTTTTGAATAACTTTTGATAGGAATGAGATAGAGATCTGCGATTTTCGCGGTTCAATAGCCAAGACTTGAGCAGAACTTTTCATAAGCAGAAGCAACTTTTGAAAAAATTCCAGAGATCGGGTTTCCGGAGGATCTTTGGAAAACCAGCTCCGTTCTCAGAAAACTAACATACAATGTTAGTAACTTTTTTGCATGCGTAGATAGTCCGGACGTTACTCTACGAAATTATGCAACTCCCGGCTCTCTAGCTATCGTCGTTCGGGCAGGGCTCGCTTTCCCCGAGCACGTGTCTATCTCTGAGCAGACATCTCTGGGAATCTCAAAATGCCATGGACTATAGGTAATCGACTACGCTGAGCATAGTGGCAACATTTGTTTTTATGTAGAAATGAATATAACTTCGCCAGAGGCATTGTTGTGAAAAACCGGTTTTTCGCCTGTTACTACCAAAAATTAAAATCCTTATATCTCGATCAAATCTCATGCTGACTCAAGGAAATTTTCAGAAAACGCTCAGGACAGCTCATAAAGCATAATTGAAGACGAAAAAGGTGAATGTGAGCTGCGCATTGGCTTAAGGTTTTCCAGAAAACTGCTGAAAATGATATCTCTGCTTCGTACATTTCAACCAAATCACCCTTCACTTGTTAATATATATAGATGTATAGGTTCATGCTATCATTCTACAGGTTCATAACATTAATCAAAAAGGGAATTGTCTATTTCGTGATTACATGCTCATTTAATGGATATAACGTTCGTATATAATGTGTTTGCTATGTTTTTAAATACGTTTGAAAGTGTTCAGGAATCCTCTCCATTTAAATGTCCAACTTTGTATTTTGACCGATCTATCTACGAGCTGGATCGAGTGCGATCTAATTTTATAATATTATTGCCGAGCCGAACCGAGCTACAAGTCGCTATCTGCCGAGCTGTAGCGAATGCGAGCCGGGGGAAGGCATGGCTCGCCCACCTCTGCTGGGTACAAGATATATGAGTTTAGCGTATCGAACGAAGAAATCGACAATAAAAGACGTGATATCAGATTTATATGAGAAGATACTCGGTAGATTATGCGAACGCCAGAATGCAAAATTTCGAGCAGCTGAATGCAGTAAGTGGTATGTAGAATGATCTATATGGGATTTGTTATGGAAAAAAAATTAGTGTGAATTGAGCGGATTGATAAAAGATTGCCTGTTGCATCAAGCGTCAATCGTTTCAACACTGTATGTCTATCTCATAGCGTTCCGATAATGAGCGACATCAGTGTTCGCGCTTACAAGTCACCAAATCTCATTCCATCAAGTATTATTCGACTATAGAAAATGGCATAATGAATACGATGCATATATCGTATCCAAACTCCAAATAGTTTCGATATTGAAAGTCTGTTCATAAACATTCTCCTACGAAGGCTTAGTAACAAATCTATTCTTCAATTGAAACAAATTATAAGTAAGCGCAATGCTTTCTCCGAATGCGAAATAAAACGCACAACCATTCTACCGGTCTAATGTTTACAGAATGGCATGCGTCATAATAGAAATAATTGACTATAATTCTTGTTAAAAGTTTTGGCAATATAGTTTAGCAACGAAACAATATTTCAATCGATGAGAAAAACAATCGTGCAGCAACCAATTTATTTATAATCAATATATCCAAGTTAGGGGTGCGCTTTGTTAGTTTTCATTGTCTTTTATATACGCATGTCAAAGTTATAATGTTTTCTGGAAATAACTCAGCATTTTTTATTTTTCTCATTTATTCAGAAAACAGTCATATAATCACTAGTTCCTTAAAAATTTGAAAGAATTACTCAGTGACATTTTGCAAATTTCAAATTATATTAAAAAAGAAGTTACACGATCCGTCATTGACCATATACAGTACATTTATTACAGATTGGTAATAGCGGAAAACTTGTATTTTGTATTGTTGGATAGTGTTTCTTAAAACTTTTCTACATAACATTAATCAAAAGGGAATTGTTTGTTTCATGATTACATGCTCATTTAATGAATATAACGTTCGTATATAATGTGTTTGCTATGTTTTTAAATACGTTTGAAAGTGTTCAGGAATAGATAAATTATGTTTGACATAGAGTTGAGCAATATCCTCTCCATTTAAATGTCCAACGTTGTATTTTGAACCATTGTCATATATCAATTCAACATCATGATGTTGACAGGGATAACTTTTCATACAACTATCAGAATATGAAATATTGACAACTTTCTTTCTAAAAAGAAATGTTTAGCCAGAATTAAATACAAGTTTGAAAAGTATAATTATCACATACTCTGAATTCATCTTCTGTTTTAAGGGGAAATCTTCGTTATTAAATCTAAAACTGAAATTTCATCTTCAGTGCTGGCTTTAGTCGTATAAACGTATGCCGTGATCGTGGTCAAATGAAGAAAATCTAATGAAAACGTTTTGTTCTTAAAAACTTCTACTCAGAAGGTATACAACTAAACAATACTCTACTTTGTGCACTCTTTCGAATGCTTTTAAACAAACTTATCATAGTTCTCCATAGTAATAACATATTCTTTTATCTCACACTTCAGTCACGTTGGTTACTCACCCATACGTGAGTCAATCAGCTTTAATTTGTTTTGTTTTTTGACTGGAACGTATCCTTATCTTACTAGGTAAATAATTGTTCTGTGCGATACACATATAACCTTATGGAGCATGAGTCCATGATTTTTAGTTAAAAAACGTGCCGAAGAAAAATTTCGTAAATAGCAGTGCTACTCATTGCAACTTGTTTGTAGACAGATTCCAGCACTATATAGTTAAAAAACACTCATTTTTCAGAAATCGACTGCTCTGCAGCCCACTGAAAAAAAATAATCGAAATTCATGCAGGATCCCGCGGGTTATCAGCATTAAAATATCTGGCGATGTTTCTTACCTTTACGCAGGATTTTTATACTGCCAGCCCCGACAGAACCCTGCATAGTTTATGTAAAATAAACGGAACGAAACAAGTATAGGACGAAATGAGAGTAATCCCTTTAAATACTCTGTTGAATGGTATATAATTTAAAAAACTTCGGTAAACCATGGATAAGTTATAGTTAAAAATATTAAGGTATACATTTCCGGAAGTTTATTTGACACGAGAAAAGCTTGTATGGCTTTACAAGAAAGTATGCAGAGGTACTTAACTTGCCAAAAATAAAAAATACAGACAAGTTCACCCTGCACAGACATTGATGAGAAAAGATTGCAAAATGCCGCAAGATAGACATGACGGACAAAATTCACAAGCTACAATTTGTTATCATCATGAAAATATCCTACAGACTTTGCAGGGTTTGCGTATTGAGATATCTTGTGTATTACAAGTGATAACAGGAAGGAAACAATTCCGCATGCTATGCAAAGTGAAGCATCTGCGACATATATCGCATGAACGCATGTAAAAGTTCCTGCATGGTGTGTCTAGAGAAGAATCCTCCAGGATCCTGCAGAAAAGAAACTCGAAAAGTGAGCGTGTTAAAGAATCCTACTCAATTATACTCACCAACTTGCAGGAAATTTTTCGTCGAGGTAACGTGATGTAAAAACTTGCAGTATATATCCAACATTCACAGGATTTTTTCAGATTACTGCGTGTCAACGCAGGAATTCGTAAATTTTTTTTCAGTGGGAGGATGAATTACGAAACAGAATTTCATGAAAATAGAAAGCAAATATTAACACGGCTAGAAGTGCGACATAATCTGATAGACAAACATGTAAAAAGAAAATGTACGCCTCGGTTCGGCTCCCATCGAAGCATACGTTTTCTTTTTACATGTTTGTCTGTCAGATTATGTCGCAATTCTAGCCATGTTAAAATTTACTTTCTAATGCTCTGCAGGATTTTGGGGAAAGTAAAGATACTTCAAGTAATTCAGAAATTCCGTGACTTATCTACTTAAATATATGGTACTTGAAGATAACCTTATCATTTGAATTGTATGTTGATCCAGGAAGTGCAAGGAATTACATAGAAATTTCTGGTAATTCCATTTTCCCCTGATTCGCGGAATTCCTGGAATTCTGAGAACTGATAGAGCTCGATCAGTATTGTCTGGTACTCTTGTCTTGTGTGATGATCGAGTTCGCGGAATTCCTAGGAACTGATTCCACAATGTTCGACATTGTGGAACAGAATGACTTCTCATTTTCACGACATATCGTTGACAAGCCTTTATGTCTTGCAACCAATTTGTACACATTACGACGCACGTAACTATACCATTGAATTTTTGCTGGTGAGTTTTTGTTAAGATCATTATCCAAAAGCTGACATAGATAGAAGTGGCCTAAAATTATCTAAGAACTCATTCACATTATGAAATGAATATTATGAAAATAATGCTATCAAATTCCCGAAAACCGTAACTATAACAGACAGATTGACGACTAGATAACTGAGCTGACCTATTTGTTCACTGCATGATAACTGTGTTCTGTATACACATGCTGGCATGAAGGTTTACTTAATTTAAGTTAATTAGTTAAATTAGTAATTTAAGTTTACTAGTAAGGGACATTACACTGCTTTGCGCTATTAGTGTTTTTCTCATCTCTTAACAACAAAATGTTTTTTTCAGCTGAGCGTTTTGCCCCAAGCCATCTCTTCAATACTTAATTAAGCTTAAAATTTTGGACCATATCTCAGGTATGAGAAGATTCCCCTCTCCTCCACTTTGATGCCTCCTGTTCCATATTTTTCAATAAGAAAAGTAAGGTGTCTTTTGCATATCTTTATCAGTGATCACACACAAAATTAGTATAAACGTAATATCCCTTAGTGGTGAGCTTAAATCATTTAATCTTTGAGATAGAGATCTTTGGCCACACGAAACATGCTGACTCAAGGAAATTTTCAGGAAACGCTCAGCAGGTGCCATAAATTGTTGATCACGTCGAAAAAATGGTCCAGCAGAACACTGATGCTTTGAGGTTTTTCAGAAGGTTTCTGGAAAATCTTAAGCTAATGCCCGGCTGAAAGTCACCTTTTTCGTCCTCGATTATGCTTTATGAGCTGTCGTAAGCGTTTTCTGAAAATTTCCTTGAGTCAGTATGAGATTTGATCGAGATATAAGGATTTTAATTTTTGCTAATAACAGGCGAAAAACCTGTTTTTCACAAAAATGCCTCCGGCGAAGTTATATTCATTTCTACATAAAAACAAATGTTGTCAATATGCTCGGCGTAGTCGATTACCTAGATTCTATGGCATTTCGATATTTCCAGAGATGTTTGCTCGGAGACTGACACGTGCTCGGGGAAAGTGAGCCCAGTCCGAACGACGACAGCTGGAGAGCCGCGACTTACATAATTTTGTAGAGTAGCGTCCGGACTATCCACGCAGGCAAAAAGATTACCAGCACTGGATGTTAGTTTCCTGAGTACGGAGCTGGTTTTCCAAAGATCCTCTGGAAACCAGATTTTTGTAATTTTTAAAAACAATTAAAGATCATTAAAAACAAATAAAAATCACATGAGTCAACTATGTACTGCAGCTACTGATTTTAAAAACGGTTTTGCCCATTTTTATATAACTTATATGCTAAAAAGTAAAAAGATTTTGAAAGCAAAGCAAAAAGTTCAGAAAAATAGTTTATTTAGCGAAAAATTACGAATCAAACGCCTTCTCTTGCTCGCTTTGCTCTTAAACTTATAGGGAAATCATAATTGATATTGTTATCCCAATCATCATCAAAACCACCCTTGTCAGAAAAACTATCATTAATAATGCCAGTGGTCTCAACTAAAAGAGATTTTAGATTTTATGCACCCGGTTATAATTTTTAACAATTATGTATGCTTATTGAAACAGCGGCAGGTTGAATATTAAAATCACAAACCGTACCAACAACAGGAGTATCACCTTACACTTCTTAAAATAGAAAAGCAGCTCTATACTAAAATCGAAAAAACTGGAAGGAAATTTCACAGGAAAAACGTTACTTACCATTATCAACAAAATCAGCTTGAATCAGTAGATAACTATAGTATGGTCATTACTAAAATGCAACGATTCACTAAATTGAAAGAAAAATTCAAGTTTAGAAGAATGCTCCAACTAACCTCTTTAACACTTTCCAAATCACATTCAATCGATAGTTCTAAAGTAAAACCTGTTTGCGGCAAATCAATATCAACACCATAATCTTTAAATAGCAAAACAAGCGGTGAAGTTTCTCAATTTATTAGTTGAATTGCGCAATTACACGGCGACTTCTATAGGATTTTGTCTCAAGAAATCTGACAGATTATGTCTGATTCATCAACTGAATGGAGCGACACTGGATCCTTAAGCTAATTTTGACATTTTGAATATTGTGACTAAGTAACTTACTTTCAGCGCGAAATTTCAATGCACATGAAATGTTAAATAATTTAATGTTTTTTCTACCGGCATTTTGGGAACATATTTGTGCATGGCCGAATAATTCATTCATATAACTTTGAGACTTATTTTGTAACGTTCTTTTACCAAATTCATTCATTTCTGTTTCCTTATTAATTATTTCTTCTAGTTTATTTTATGTTGTTGTTTTCGGTTTAGGTAGGCATGCACCGATTACAGTTAACTGTAAAACTGTAGAACCGTAACCGTCATAACTGTGTAAGTGTTATAATTTAATACAAGATATCACATCAATTATTTTCAAGAGTTACTTCAAAAAAAACATGCCTAAACCTAGGTATACACCAGTTACTGTTTTTTACTAGTTAACTGTACGTGTAAAATTGTAATAACTGTAACTGTCATAACTGTGTAACTGTTACTGCATATAGCTGTAGGCAAATATTCTAGAGTGAGTTAATCTTCTACGATTTGCACACATTTTAAAAATTCTCTTAAAATGTATGCAAGTCGTAGAAGACTCACTCTAGAATATTTGCCTACAGCTATTAGCAGTAACAGTTGTACAGTTATGACAGTTATATTTATAACAGTTTTACACGTACAGTTAACTAGTAAAAAACTGTAACTGGTGTATACCTAGGTTTAGGCAACATTTTTTGAAGTAACTATTGAAAATAATTAATGTTATGTCTTATATTAAATGTATGTAATAAGAATCTGGAAATATACGGAACTTCAACAATCTTTTTCAAGATCGCATGCTCATTCATGGAAACCCAATCAGTTTAAATTAGTCGACTTTTAATCACCAGATAATGTAGAATAATATCGTTACGTGTAGAAGATAATGTAAAACTTTTTCTTGAAATTTTATAGGTTAGTCTTTACGACTCTTTTCTTTATTTTTCATTTAGCCAGATCTCACCAAATGACACTGGAATCAGTTAATAGGCTCATATTCACTTTCTTTCACTCTGGACATTTACATTTTGGTGATGGACACGATCGTTTCTATTAAGTAAATCGCTAATAACTCCTGATCCAATAGAGATGAAGCATTCTTCCTTTTGCCAAAATGTGTATTGACTCTCTTCTATCTGCATTATGAATTTAAGCTGTTAACTCTTAATAAGAGAGCTCTTTGGTGATCGACGCGCACTTTTGAAATTTGAGCCGTTTCTGTAGACTACCATTCGACCTGAGATCTTTTGATAATTTCTAGTATAGAGGAAACAAAATAATACAAAATATAGTCGGAGAAAAATACATAATCTATGAAATAGCTCCTACTCCCTAAAAAAACAGGTACTCTACCGAATCTAAAAAGGTTTAAACTTTTGTCACCATCTATATACCTTTTTAAGGTTTTATACAAACTATATACCGTTTAATTTAGCTAAATCCATGACTGGAAAAAGCTTGAGAACACTGAGAAAACACTTTTTTTTGTGTTTTTACTCAAATTTTTTCCAGTGACGGATTTAGGGTGCTGTACGAAACGTTAAAAGGTATCGCCCTAGAGAAAGAATTTTTGACAATTTTTATAAGCTTCTCATAAGATTCTCACAAGATTCTTATATAAGATGTTGCACGGATGTGATAAGAAATTCACTGGTTCTGATAAGATTCTTTTAAGAAACTTATAAGATATTCATAAGAAAGTAACAAGACGCCTTGTCACTTTCTTATGAATATCTTATAAGAACCTTACCGGTTTGTTATCAATTTCCTATGAACTTCTTATAAAATTCTTATCTGATTCTGACAAGAAGACTGTCGTGATTTTGCAGATTCAGTCCATACTGTTGTGTTTCCTTATTCAATTTTGCTGCTCTCTTCAGTGTTCTTACCGTGCTTTAAAACCATTTCAATCTGTTATATTTATTGAATAGGGGCATTTTGCTAGAGATCAGAGAAGAGGCGTAATTTAGGCAAACGACCGTACCCTATATTCCCACACAATGTTTTTTTTTTGAACTTCATTCTTTTCACGATAAAGCTGGAGAAGTACATCAGGTCTGTAGGACTGCCCACTTGCGACTTAGATCTTATTACAGAAAAACAGTATCAAGAAAACTTTATTCGGGTGTGAAAACAGCAAATTGAATATGGAAACACAAGAGTATCTATCTACTATTGGGAATAAAACACATTTCATAGGATATTGACCTTCATACCATTACCGGGTGTCATAAAAGTTTTGCAACATTTTTTATTTCACATATATCTCTGCCTGAGAAAATGATAAAGTCTTGATATTTTTTCGAAAAGATGCGCCGTGAAAAGCTCTATAAAAGTGGTATAAAGAGATTCCTATTCATTTGTTCTGATGGTTTTCCCATACTCAATATGAACAGCCTACATGATAGTGCTACTTCCCAGCGTATTGGGCATAACAAAAATGTTTGGAAGACAGTTTTTCTTCTGCAATAGGGATTTGTTCATACAGCTCGTATAGAGCTTTCGACGGTGCATCTTTCAAAAGAAAAATCAACATGTTATCATTTTCTCAATCCGAAATATATACAAAACAAAAAAGTCTTCGAAACATTTTTATTATGCTGAAAAGTAGCACTATCATGGAGGTTGTTCATTTGAATGTGGGAAAAATCATCAGAACAAGTGAATAGGAATCTCTTTATACAGTTTTTGTAGAGCTTTTCAGGGCGCATCTTTTCAGAAAGATATCAAGACTTTATCATTTTCTCAGACAGAGATATATGCAAGATAAAAAAATGTTGCGAAACGTTTGTGACACCCGGTATAGGCGACTGTTCCTTCTAAGTGACTCAGATATCGTATCAAGATAAAGGTCAATTCGAAATTTTATAGGGTCTGTTTTATTATATACTTGAATATGATGCCAACAATTATCAGTCACAAAAATAAAAATAGGTGAGAGATATGACAATAAATAAAAATTTTAAAAAAAAATAATTTCTAATTTTAAACAATTAATTATCTCGCTATTCATTTTAGATTTGATGATTTTGTTATATTTTATAGAAATTATTATAATGTTTCCTTGGACATTGTAACAATGGTTGTAAAGGGTTAGGTTTGTTTCTGCAAGAGTAAAGGAATTTTGTGAGTAAATATAGGCTTATAATTCACAAGTAAATTTCGAAGTGCTTATTGAAAATAAGCTGAGAATATAAGTGGGAAAAGAAAAGATGTTTTCTGTAATGAAAAACATTTTTATTTGTCAAAGAAATAAATATTACCATTTAATTCTTCATCATTAATAATATTATCTGTTGTTTCTTCTGATCGATATATATTAGAATCATTAATTTGTTTTAAACGTTTGGCTAATGGCTAAAAGAAAAGGAAAATTTTGATAAAATTATTATAATTTATAAATAGAGAATAAAATCATTGTGTTAACATTTTAAATGATAGTAATAAATAATGACAACAATTTGTCTCGTGTAATAGGGGCTATATTTTCAAAAACTAAATGCATCTAACTAACATTCTTTCAGATGATGAGAATACGAAACGAAAATATCGTCTTTAGTTTAATATTTTATATGTATATTTTTTATGAATTAGTTTGTTTTGAATATTAGAGATAACTGTCTTATTTACATAATTTGGATTGTCACTGTCTGCTGGCAGTTTCTTTGATTGATTATTATTGTCATCATTTGACGATTATGTTGTTATTAGTTTCTCTTCTTCCTTTTCATCTCTTTTGACATTATTATTGTCCTTTTTATCTCGATTTATAGAATCAGGATCAAACATGTATTACGATTATCTTGAAATAACACTTTACATTAAATAACTCATTACATTGAAATAATACTTAAACAAAATAAAAAAATATTTTCCAGATGGATTCGATTAAATAAGCGGCAATGATTAGTTGAGTTATTATGAGTGTGTAATTATACATATTTACATAATCATATTTGCACGGATGCAAGAAAAAAAACTGACATCCATCAAAGCACACATGATGCATACAATTCGTCTCAGCGTCCGTCTGAGATGTTTCTGCCAAACAGTATCCAACCGAAAACTAACGAGGCTATAACACTCCGCTGGAGGAAAACCTCTTGTCGGAAGAGCTTCGTTCCTGTACCTATCGCTCCTACAAGAAAACTTCTTCTCAGAGGCTTTGTACATCCTGCCTCTACAAGAAAAACTTTTCTTCGAGGGACTTTGACTTTACTCACCTGTCCGTCCAACAAAAACCTGTTGAAAAACATCAGGTTTCTCTTCTGCTGTACCGAAGGAAAAGCCAATAGGTGGATTGTGTTGTCCGTGCAACATCTTATATAAGAATCTTGTAGGAATCTTATCAGAAACTTGTAAGAAGCTAATAAGTATTTTTATGTTTCTTGTGAGTGCCGTGTGAGATCCTTATATAAGAATCGATGTCTAGGGCGTCGTAAAAAGGTATATAGACGGGGACAAAAGTATAGGGTTATAGGGATACCGTTACTTTGGAAGAACGTTGTAGTTTTAGTTTAATCAGAGCTCTCATCTGTGTCATCTGCTCTCTATATTTCTTTATAAAATCGCGTTCTTAACTTTTCTCTGGAATATTCTGACCATCGATAACTGATCAGGACCTTTCCCAAGGGTTCAAAATAGAGAGGACGTCTCATATTTATTCTGTCTCAACAAGCGTTTACAGTTAAACAAATCGGAAAAGTCATTTAACAGAATAAACTTGGGCTATGAGTTAACTGATTTAGAACTTAGTTCTGATTAAGACTAACACCTTCAGGTCACAGGCAATACTTGATCAAAAATAACAAAGAATTATGTAAGTCAGTCACATTTTAATTTTGATACAATTCAGCAATTATTCATCATTTCAACTTACTTTTTCTTGCTGTAAGTGGTCCTTAATCAGACTTACAAATCCGTATGTAACGTTCTTCATATATCTTTAGATTTGCAGTAATTAAACAACTACGATCTTGTTTCAAACAGAAGTCAGTCACGTTTGGAGTCATTATGCATATAAAAAATAGTTCAGCAGGTCTTCAATTATTTTGGTGTTTCAAATTCATTAATTTTTTGTTCTAATTGTATTGCTTATACTTTAATGTAAAATGTCGAACACTTTAG